CCTGGGAATAGAGCATGTGTCACAGCGTGTGCACACACAGGCACCACGTCTCTCCTGGGAATAGAGCATGTGTCACAGAGTGTGCACACACAGGCACCATGTCTCCCCGGGGAATAGAGCATGTGTCACAGCGTGTGCACACACAGGTACCACGTCTCTCCTGGGAATAGATCATGTGTCACAGAGTGTGCACACACAGGCACCACGTCTCTCCTGGAATAGAACATGTGTCACAGAGTGTGCACACACAGGCACCACGTCTCTCCTGGAATAGAACATGTGTCACAGAGTGTGCACACACAGGCACCATGTCTCTCCTGGGAATAGATCATGTGTCACAGAGTATGCATGCGCGCACACACACACACACACACACACACACATCACTTCATCCCTGGGAATGCTTTGCATTTGTTCCCATGTTTTGTGCTCACAGTGCAATCCCTGAGCTCACTGTGACTCTAGCAAGTCTCTTGTGCAGCGAGCGCCCATCATTCAGCACTCCAGGACATGGTCCCATGCATCCCGCCAAGAAGGATGGTGCGTTGGCAGGAACACTTGGTTGTTGCTAAAATTCCTCACTGTCCACTCAACAGAAGCTGCTCACTGCTCAGAGCCAAGACTGGCCATTCCACAAGACAAGGTGCCCCCAGAGGGGTCGGTGTGGGAGGATGGCGCCTGAGGGCATGAACCCCCCCATGGGCTGAGCTGTGTGAGCCACCTCCAGCCTCCAGCTCTGCTGGCCTGTCCCATCTCACTTGGTCTGTAAGCTGAGTAGTGACCATGGAACTGCTCAGCGACGTGAGCGGCAATCAGAGCCATCATTCAAGGTGCTCACACACTGAATGCAAGCGGACATGCCTTTCCTCAGCACATCCACAACCCGCAGGGGCCACTGCCACCCTGTCCCACTCTGCCATGCTCCAAGCTCCAGCCGCGTCTCTGGTGACACACAGCACAGAACGGCTCCTCGGGCTGCATCCAGGAGCCTTGGTCACTCTCCAACCTGACAGAGATCAGACGCACACAAAAAGAAGTGAGTCCTACCCCTGTGCTGCTTAGGTGAAAACAGTCTTTAAGGACAGGGACTCAGAGGTCCCTGCCTTGGTCAGAGGCTCAGAGCGAGAGTGGCAGCCATGACTGACACTAGCCCACAGCCCCCAGGAGCCCAGTACTGACCTCTGAGTGCACTGACCACCAGCACACTTGGGATCGTGGGTCCACGCTAAGCCTTGGCTCACTGACCTGCTCTGACTTCCTGCAGACAAGGCAAGGAGCACCAAGTCCTCCGGGCCGTGTTAAGAGCTGGGCTGTCCTTGGTGCAAAGCACGGAGTGTCTCCTGCATGTGGCATGTATGGTGGCTCTGCTTCTGCCAGTATCAGCAGCCACCGCATCAATGGGAGCTGCACATCCTGGGGCAAAGCTCCCTTGCCTCGGAAGGCCTGTGTGGGCAGAGCCATTTATGACCATCTGACAGACAGCTTGTCCATGCTGCTATTTTCTGTAAGCACTTACGCAGTCTGATTGTATTTTGGAATCTGAGGGTCACGTATGAGTGATAGAAATCACCAGCGCAGGGCCTGGGGCCCAGCAGGCTACACTCCACCAGCGACACCAGCGTCAGCTTGTGCCTTTTGGGGTCCGGCTTCCTGCTGGTGTGCCTGGGGCGGCAGTGGAAGACGCCCCAAGTGCTCGGGCCACTGCACCCACGTGGGAGACCACATTAACACTCTAGGCTCCTGGCTTTGCAGCCATCTCGCACACGAGCTGGAGGGTGCAGGGCCACTGTCCAAATCCATCTCTCTGTCCCTTCCAGCCTTTCAAACAAATATTTCTAAAAAGTGAAAATAAAATCACTACTACAATCGGGAAAATTTAACTTCAATTAGACATACTTTTGGAAAATGAATTACTGTTTTTAAATAATAAACCTTTATAGTCCACACGTAGGAGGAAGAACTATTTGATTTAGTGAATACAGTAATATTTTCAAGTAACCAAAAATTGGGAATCTAATTGATAACTTGATGCTTTAATTATGTGTGTTTCAAAAACAGAACAGAAAGAAAAATCCTAGGAGCTAGTGGTGTGACCTAAGGAGTTTAGCCACTGCCTACAACACAAGCATCCGAGCCTCGACTGTCCCCGTCTTCCGGCCGCCCCTGCACGACCTAGGAAAGCAGCAGAAGGGAAGCCACGCGCTGGGGTCTTGGCCACCTCTCTGGGAGACCCAGATGGAGCTCCTGGCACCTGGCTCTGGCCTGGTGCAGCCCAGCTGTGGCAGCCATCTGGGGAGTGAACCAGCAGATGGAAGAGCTCTATTTCTCTTTCTCTTTATATAACTCTTTCAAATAAATAAATAAATCTTTTTTAAAAGGCTACAAAAGAAAAAACAATCTCTTAGAAATGAAGAAATAAGACATAACTTGCGTTACTCTTCCGCAGGGCATGCAATTTAGCATGCTTTAAGGCAAATTAAAAGATAATTATCTTTTGGCACTAATTTTAATATGCGCAATAAAAGAAGAAATATCAGCCCTGAGTAAGGCACAGGAATCTTTCCACCAGAAGAGGGGTTTCCCATTAAACCAACCCTGGCTGTCCTCGAGACCAAAGCAGGGCCGCGACAGCACACATTTCCGGGAGGAGGACCTTGGTAGCCCATCAGAGGGCCTGCGTGCTCCGCCCACCGCCCAGCCTGCACACAGTGCTCCACGGACAATCAGCCAAGCAGCCTGTGGCAGATGGGCTGACCCTGGGTGGAGCAAGGAGGGTCTCTGTAGGCACTGGCCACACTGCCCTCCCCAGGACCAGAGGGTGCTGGGAGCCAATCCAGGGCAAGGGCAGCTCTAAGGTCAGCCATGGAATGGAAGCCGGCACTCGGCCCCCTCTCCCCACCTCTGCAATGTGGCCAGGCAGGGACCAGCCAGGTGGACCACCCTGAGGCAGGGGGCCCAGGCCAGGTAAACCAACATGGGGCAGGGGACCCAGGCCAGGTAGCAGCACCTAAGCCTCCAACCCCTATGGGTGTCAGAAGCCAGCACATTAAGCCTTGGTAAAGAGGAAACTGCTGGGCTGGGCTGCTTCCCAGGAAGTAGTCACAGCTGTGATCCAGCCTGTCTACTGTGTCCCCGGGGACGTGGTCACACAGGTGTCTTCTGTCCTGTCCACCCTCTCCCCAGGGAAATGGTCACACAGACATTCTACAGCCTGTGCGCCCTCACACAGCCGGCCTGCCTGCACTGCCCTCCCTCAGCAGGCGGCCCTCACTGCCCAGACATACAGAGAGCAAGGGCTGGGGGCCCCTCAATGGGAGGCCAGCCTGACCAACTGTGAAAGAATTCCGTCCTGACCCACACCTCCAAGTCAGGCAGGCCCCAGGAGGCCGAGGGTGGGCTCTGGGCTCCCAGGATCTGAGAGAGCCCTGCAGCCAGGGTCCTGGACCCCACCAAAACAGAGGCAGAAGCAGGCAGGACATTCTAGCAGAGCATAGGGGTCCGGCTGAAATAAAGCTGAATAAAGATATCTCTGAAGCGTGGAGTCAGCAGGCTGGGAGGGAGCAGCCCCAGGAACTCAGCCCAGAAATCTTCCAGGGCTGTCTCCTAGGCCAAAGCCCCTGGCCCTGGAGCCCTCCTATACCGAGGACCCCAACCCTGGAGCTCTTGCCTGGGAAGGGGCTGAAGCATGGAGGATGAACACTCAGATGTCACCATGTGACATTCCTGCCCCGCGGCCCTTGCCCTTGCTGACCAGTGGTCACAGTGTCACCAGTGGATGGGCATACCAGGGAAGGAAGCTGATTGGAAGTGGAGTGGCATGGATGCTTAAGCTACTACCTGCAACAGTGGCATCCCATGCAAGTGTCAATTCACATCCCAGCTGTTCCACTTCCCATCAGTTCCCTGAGAAAGCAGCCAAAGGTGGCCTAAGTGCTTGGCCCCTGATACTCAAGTGGGAGACCAGATGGAGCTCCCTGGCTCCAGACCTCTGCCTGGCCCAGATGCGGCCACTGCAGGTATTCGGGAGTGAACACAGCAGATGGAAAATACATCTCTGTGACTCTTCCTCTTTCGTTCCCTCTGCCTGTCATATAAAATAAATCAATCTTTACAAAATAATAAAAAAAATTGTAACACCGGAAAGTAATGGAATAACAAACTGCTCCCAATTTTTGTGAACTTTTTCGTACACCTGGCCTGGGGTGGCACACCACACGTAAGTGAGGGTGACCCCAATTCCTCCATGAAATAACCTCTCTGTCAGTGCAGCGTGAAACAAGCCCCCTCTTAGTCACACTGCTCCCCGTGAACTCTGGGTTCCTCTTTGCAATGTCCAAATCCCTGACCCAGGTTCAAGGACAACCCCTCGCTTTCATAACTCCCCAAACCCTGACTGCCTGGCCAGGCAGGTGCTGGGACCATGGCTCAAGGTGAGGGTGCAAGGCCACAAGCTGCTCTGTCAGGCCAGCCTTCGCAACATCTCTCCCACACGTCACAGGGACCCCCCGGCAGGGGCAGCACTTCAGCAAGACGACTGCTTTCTGTCAGTAAGAGCTTACAAGGCCTGCGCTTGGTGAGGCAGTAGGGGAAGTGGCCCAGGCCATCAGTGGAAGCCCAAAGGAGCGGCAGGAGAACAGGCAGCCCGAGCCACCTGCAGGAGAACGGCGTCCCCTCCATGGATGGGTGGAAGTCCCTCTGACACAAAGCACTCAACCGAAGCACTTTAAACCAAATTGGCCACGTGTGTGAACATCTCTGACACTGGGTCCAAACCAAATACGCATCAACCAGTGTATGTGCCTGGAGAAGACACAGGTCTTTTGAAAAATGGCGAACATTTCACAAAAATGCCAAACTTTAATTTATAGTTGGTAGCCAAGTCTGAAAAACCTTATTGTCCCCTGTGACTCAGGAACCAAGAAACAGATGGTGACACACACTTCACGCCAAGATGAAAATGTGTCCTGGGAAAGCATCATTACAGAGAGAGGGCGTCTTACCTGAGTGCTTGTTGGTTTTGTTCTGCCGGCTCTTAACTTGCTCTGTCCAAAGGGTGGGATAACGAGATGCAATATCTAGTGAGCCAAAACAGAAAGAAAATTGTTTTTAATTCCTCAGGAAAACACAAAACCCCTCCATCTCAAATGTCAGCAGATGGCCTACAGCCAATATCCACGTACCAAAGGCACATGGCACATTTTTACAGCAATTGCTGAAGTACCCATGTTCCTGGGACTAAGGCGGTCGACAGCCCACGTCTTCAACCTGACCAGCACTGTGCACTTCTGTTCTCCCCTTGAGCTGTCACTTGAAGCTGCTTCCATCTGGGCAACCCCCCTGGACACCTGTCCGGGCTGTGTCACCTGAGAGACACTCAGCTCCCACTGCATGCCACAGCAACAAGTGGCCCGGCCAGGAGCAAGCCGCTGAGTGAGACCCCATGACCCAAGAAGGCTGCTGGGTAGTGTCTTCTGGGGACCCAGGGGCAGACGCCCCTCCCACACACTTAGCACCAGCACTGAGTCTCCTCCCCCAGTGGGGTGCCTACCCTTGCTTCTTGACCATGAAAGCCCTGCACACTTTGTCTCCTCGGCCCAAGAATGTGCTAGTTTCCAGCAGGCAGCCCAACACACTAAAGGTAAAAGGGGATCCGTCTTTGTTGTGACTACTGATAAAGCAGAGAAATACAGGCAGGAAGCAAGTGTCTGAAATGCATGTTTTATATTATCTCAACAGTGCAATCGATTCATAAACTCTTACTAAAACTTTCAGGAAACCCAGTCCAGGCTGCTCCACTTCCAATACCAAGGAAATGAGCAGAGGAGGATGGCCCAAGTGCTTGGGCCCCTGCACCTGTGTGGGAGACCCTGCTGGAGCTCCAGGCTTCTGGCTTCAGTCCGGCCCAGTCCCCATTCGTGGCCACTGGGGAGTGAACCAGCTGTTGGAAGATCTCTCTCTTTCTCTGTGTGTGTGTGTGTCTCTCTCTCACTGTCTCTCCTTCTGTCTCTATAATTCTGCCTGTTGAATAAGTCAAATACACCATTAAAAACTGTAAAAGCATCAAGTTCCCAGGCTATCTGAAAGGGAGAGGACCCACCCCAGCTGGAAGGGCCAGACTCAGGGACCACTGCCCATTGGGTTGTCCTCTGTGAGCTGGCCGGTTAGGGCATCCAGCATCTCCAACGCTTGCTATTGTGCCTGCTACAGGCACCTGGAGCCTATGCCCTGAGGAGATCTCCAGGAGAGCAGGTCACGTCAGCAACGCTCCCTACTGAGGCAGACACAACGGCACTGTGCCCTCTGACCTACAGATTTCCTAGCGTGCCTCCCCTGCCAGGAGCTGCCACACTGTAGTCCATTCCTGTACTGGGGAGGGGACGCAGACTCCACAGCAGAGTGAGGTCACACAGGGCATGTCAACCTGCACAGGGTGATGGGAACCCCCCACCTGACAGCACCCCAGCTCACCTGCACCTCCCGACCACACCAGACTAAAATCACACCACTTGTGCTCCTTCTAACCAATCCAAGCCCACCTGCGCACCTCCTCCAGGCTAACACCTCTCCCTCACACCAGCCCTGACCCACACTCACACCTCTCCCTCACACACCAGCCCTGACCCACACTCACACCTCTCCCTCACACCAGCCCTGACCCACACTCACACCTCTCCCTTACACACCAGCCCTGACCCACCCTTACTCACCAGCCCTGACCCACACTCACACCTCTCCCTCACACCAGCCCTGACCCACACTCACACCTCTGCCTCACACCAGCCCTGACCCACACTCACACCTCTCCCTCACACCAGCCCTGACCCACACTCACACCTCTCCCTCACACCAGCCCTGACCCACACTCACACCTCTCCCTCCCCTGCTCACCTTCCTCATCTCCTTGAGGCTGAGTCTCTATTGCGGGAGCCACGGCATCATCTGAATTCAGAACGGAAAAGATTTGCAAGGAGACTACAATTATGAGAGTAAGTATGTGAGTGTGCATGCGGAATGATGCTGGGCCACACATGCAGCCCCGCCCCCGGCGAGCCCAAGCACGCCCAGGACACACACAAGCACACAAAGCTATCTATGTCCACCTGTGCATGGCTCAGCTGGGTGCCTGAGAGGCGATGGCAGGCTGAGGATGGACGAGGAAGCAGCAGAGTGACAGGAGCAGGGGACCCGCCACTGGGGATAACTTCCCTGACAGATAGGTCCCTGGTGCTCTTCACCGGGCCTTACTGAGGAGCTGTGTGTGGGTTTCTGGGGGCAGCGCCAAGCAGCCCGCTGGGCCCTACCCATCCTAGGTAGGAAGGAAGGCCAGGCCCGAGAGGTTGGCCTCCAGTGCTGACTCCTTCAGCCCCGCAGCCCCTCTGCTGCAGAGTGGGATGCTGGGGACAAGGGCAAACAGGGTATGGAGTGAGTTACAGGGCAGCCCCCCCGCCCCCTTGGGGGAAGGCTGCACGCTGGCCCTAGGCCTCCTTGCAGCATGGGGAGCAGTGTGGCACCCATACTGAACACGGGTGGATTTCCTGTACAGGACAGGATCCTGTGGCCTATTGGGCACAGCGAACTCAGGCACTGTAGTCAGCGGTGACAACTCTGAGGTGATTCCAAGTACCCCGGCAGGCAGGCCGTGTGTACAAATGCAGTGTCTTTCCAGGGCCTCAGATTTCAGTATCCACGGGGACTTTGGGCCAGACAGCAGGGGCCACAGTATTTAAAATGAGGGACCTCGTTGAACTTGAGACCACACTCGGGTCCCCAGGAAATGTCAGCGGCGCAGTGGACGCACTTTCCACACCCTCATGCACACCTGTGGCACACCTGCGGCAGAGATGAGGCTCAGGGATGAGGCCCCATGGTGCGTCCTGGGGACCACCCTAACCCTTCCACCCGCACCTCTTCACTTGATTCTGCTCCATGGTCCTTCAGGCTCAACACACAGAGGAGGTGACAGAGAGGCCAGCCACTGGCCGCATCTAGTCAGAAGGGACTAGTGGCTTTCCCAGCTGGCTCAAGAATGAACATGAAGTGCTCTTTCAGTGTTTGAGGGCAGGAAACAGAACAGAATTTCTAAGTCTTTAGCTTCAAACAATCTATTGAATGACAAAAACACTGCCTTCAAAATACCCAAGTATATCAATAGTCACACTAACTAAATGCCATGTCTAATGGGGAGCAATCAACTAAGGGGAATTCTCCCAAAAAACTGAAACAGGGGATGCAGCTCAAACATATAACACACTGAGCACCTGAAAGAATCTATTAGGTCAAAGTGTTCAATAACATCACTCAGCCTCTTCAAACGACAGTAATCAAACTTGTTGTTGCTGGCGTGAGTTTTGCTGAGGCCTAACAGGCCATCACTGTGAAGCCAGCAGCTGCCCCCCGGGCCCCTGCCAGGCTGAAGCTCTGCCCCCGGGGGGGCCACGGGGGGCACCGTCCAGAGCACGGTGGAGCCAAGCACAGGGCTCCGACACAGGCACGCCTCTCACTGGCGCCATCCTCACTTCTCTTGTCCCTATCACGGACCCAGTAACCTTCTGCGTCTCCTTCCTCTCCCACCGCGCCGTGCCTGGTCTCTCTGTTAAACTTCCCAGGAAATGGTTGAAAGGGCTCTTGGCTGCTCTGGCCGTGGATGGGAAAGGGACGCCCTTTCTTTGGAAAATGGAGCCCAAACCTCTCTCCGCAGCCTCAGGAACTGCTGCAGTTACAATCCCACGGAGGCCTCCACACTGTGCCAACCCGTGCTCCCCGCTGATGGCCTGCAGGAGCCTGTCCCCGGCAGGTGGCTGAGCAGTGCACAGCCTGTCACCCCAGCACAGGCCCCGGGCTACACTGAGCTGCACACACAGCACACGAGCACCAGCACCGCGCCAAGTCTCCTTCCTCGGATTTGGATACTTACCTGCTCTCCCCGTGCCTTCCCGCGGGGGCAGCTTGTCGTTCACAGAACCTACAGGGAAGCAAACACACACACTTCAGGTCCTGAGTCCTGCTCAGCGCCCTGGTCCCCACCCCAATGGCCCCAGGGCCCTGCCTCCAGGGCGCATCCCACTGGAAGCCCTCACCTGGATAAGACAGCTAACTCCCCCCTCACTGTTCACATACTCCACCAAAGGACCTTGTAACAAACACCTTCACTCCCATCACACCCCACATGAGCGCTGGTTCATGGCCGGCTGCTCCACTTTCGTTCTGCTAATACTCTAGGAAAGTGGTGGCAGAGCTCAGTCCTTGGACCCTTGCATTGCTATGGCACACAGTGAAAGCTCCTGACTCCCAACATTGGATCAGCTCAGTTCCAGTCAAGGCAGCCACTTGGGGAGTGAGCCATCTCTCTCTCTTTCTCTGTGTCTGTCTCTCTCTCTCCCCCTCAGGCCAGCCCTGCTCTCCCTGTCCCAGTAGATGCAGCCTTGTCAGATGCTGGCTGCATTTACTCAGAGGAATGAACAGGTCTGTGGAGAAATTCAGGGACACCATGTGCAGCTTCGCTTCCGCATCTAACCTCTGCAGCCAGACTCCGGGTCTAAGCATCTCAGAGCTTGGAATCCCTTTTGCTTTTACCAGTTTTGCATGTGTCGTTGAAATACAGACTGATACTTACAGTAGAAATAGTTCTGAGACGTGGACCCTTGCTACTTGGTAATACAGGGAAAGAGAAGAGCCATGTTGACCAAGGGCCTGGGGGCAGAGGGACAGCAGCGAGCATCCCTGAGGGTGGGGGCTGGTGCCTGCCCATCTTGGACATTCTAGAACCTTCCACTTCCAGGCAGCTTCATGTGGCAATGCCAGCTTCAGGGAGGCTGTGTGACGACCCACATGGGAATGTGGCTGTAGAATGAGCCTGGAAGGCACCTTGGAGATGGAGCGCTGCCTGGGGCATGGAGCATGCCTGCTGATGGAGTTGTGTCCCTCTCGCCACATGCCAACGTGCTGCACATTTTCTGGGCATCCGGTGAGAACCCTCTGGACACACAGCCCCCTCCCGGGGTGGCCTCCTCAGCCAGCTGTCGGAATCCTGCCGCTCTTGTTTGCTCCGACGCAGCAGCTCACTGCAGACTCAGTTTTTTTAGGGAGCTGAAGTTTCGTCATCACTTATGTTAACGTGACTATCTGTAATGAGTCTAAAATGTCTTCTGCTCCTCACTGGAACTGAAGGCAGTTTGGTAATGTTTCTGCATAGCAGCGTGTTGGGTCATTAGCATGAGTGGAGCCCAAGGGTGCTGCTGACCCACCACGGGAGACTGCTCCACTCCAGGTGTCAACACGCTGTCAGCTGAGCACAGAGCAAGACAAACTGCAGGCACCCCCAGGCAGGGGATCCCTGCTGTCCCCACCAGCAGCACTGCGCCCTGTCCGCCAGACCCCCAGACACAGACATCGCCAAAATAATTCTCGCCTGTTCTTTGTATCCAGGGAAGAAATGTGAAACGGAACCGAAGCCAACAGCCACCCCTTGCAATTGGTTCCCGCCTCACAGGCATGACTGGGGCAGCAGGCGACACACCACCCACAGCCGCACAAGGAGCAGCCAGGGAGGCACGTGGCTAGCTGCAGTCACCTGCTCCACGCAGGGGAGATGGCGGCCTCTGCACGGCCTCTTGATCCCTTCTAGAGAGACCCGTCACATGTTAGGACATCACACAGTTGGAGTTGGTAGCGTAAAGCACTCAGTACCAGTGACTAACCAGCAGAGAGCAACACAGGGAAGGAGGCTCGGGAGAGCCGCCATGCAGAAAGTGCACAAGCTAGACACGCCTGAAGGCACCTTGTCCTGAAAGAGAAAGTCTCTCCCGGAGCAAAAAAGCGAAGCTCACCACGGTCAGAATCTCAGCCTTCAGAGCTGGACACGTGAGAACAGACCCCCACTCCGACACACGCAGAGCTGCGACTCGCCCAGCTGAGCCTGAGCCGTGGCCAGCCCAGGGCCAGCACGTTGCTGAGCAGGTGGCCCTGTTCCCATCACAGCTACACTCCTCGCACCCTCTGCTTCTTCTTGTGTGAAGAAGCAGGGTTAGCTCGGCGCCGTCTGGAACTCGCAAGTTGCTGGCCCTGTCCTGCACTTCCTCATCCCAGGAGCACAGTGGGTGTCCCCAGCCGCAGGAAGAGCTCCAGTGTCCCATGTCTCCGGTGTCTCGCCCACAGCTGTGCCGCAGGCTCGGAGGCGCCGGGAAGCCGCAGCTGAAAGCCCCTGACGTCCGACCTGGGCTTGGCAGCATCTGGTTTTTGACCCTGCCTGGACAGCGCACGTTTTCTGCAAGCTAAGATGCTTCCTGGGGCATCCACAGCCCACATCGTTCGCCCTGCTGCACCCACTGATGTGCGCCCCAGTGAATGCCACCCACATGGGAGGCCCGGTGCACTCCAGCCTCCTGGCTCCATCCTGGCCTGAACTGCTTCCCTCAGCTCTGTAACCAGGCAGCTCCAACAAAGCAATTCCGGGCTTTCATCACTGGTTTTGATAAAGAAGAATGTCAGCAATATTAGAATCCCACCCCAACACTCATTCTGATGTTGCAGTCTGGAGAGCTAATTGTTCTGGTCCCCCAAGCCCCTCACTCAGTGCCAGCAGTGCCTGGCAGTAAGAAAAGTCCAACAAGTTCACACCATAAAGGGAGACTCGGCAGAAATCACCAAGATGCCATCAACAGGCAGATGGAGGGGGGACCTTTGGCCTTGCGCCTGCACCAACAGAAACCACACACTGCGAAAGGAGCCAGCCTGGTCCACATGCCGTGATGTGTACCACGAGGCTGCCCAGACCCAGAGCGTGGCACCGCCAGCCTGGGCCCTCAGACCTATGTGAGCAGAGTCTACATTCAGCGCATGGTGGGGAAAGGCCCATGGGACCCTGCCTCACAGGTGTGACTGGGGGACCGGGAGGGAATGGTCCTCTACAGAAGACCAGGTCTACAGCGGATGGTAGGCAATGCATCAGCAACTAAGCAGGGGCCAGTGTGAGAAAGGACCAGTGGATAGAGCCATGCTAGGTTGCACAAGATTCCGACGCCACCCCCACCCTCTTCATACTACATGGAAGTGTCTGCCTATAACTACAGCAGGCCACCTTGTCCTGTTGGGGAAGGCCAGAGGCAAAGGCGAGACCAGGGTCCACACCAGTGTGACCCTGCAGGTGTGCAGTTCCCAGCCCTCTGCCGTGTGGCCTCTGGAACTCCCCTACCCACGCAGCTTCAGGGAGCTCCACATGAACATGCTGGACATCGTGGCTCTAAAGACTCCTGCACAGGCTTCTGCTGCCAATACCTGAAACCACTTTGTACTCACGCCAGGAGCGGGCGTTTGCCAAGGGGCACAGTGTCAGGAGGCAGGTGAGATTAAGAACCTGGCATTACCCATACATCACAGAGCATGAGCCAGCTGCAAAAACAGAGCTTGCAACAAAAGCCCTTTGTCTTAGAGCACTCCTCCTGCCCCAGCAATGTCAGCCTTCACCTCCCTGAAAGATTAAAAAAAAAAAAAAAACAGAAGAAAAGCAAAGGAAGGAAGGAAGAAGAGAAGAAAGACAGAGGGAAGCCCTCCAGGGATGACAAGAGTGGGCCCAGGGCACAGGCGAGCCACGGGACAGACACCCGCCCACCACCTGAGCACCTGAGGTGCCAGGACAGATCCTGAGCATGCGGATGTAACCAGAGCGGGCCCAGGGCACAGGCCCAGCCATGGGATGGATGCCTTGCCCACTGAGCACGCAGCCATGCACAGAGCCAGGGGTCCAACACCTGGGTCCTTGCCCAGCAGGGGCTGGGACATCAATCTCTAAGCTCTAAGTGAGAAGCACCTGCTGTTGGCAGGCTGAGACATCAGACAAGTGTGGATGCGACTCAGGGAACAGCTGCTGAACCTGCAGCTTTGGAGGTGCTGAGCTGCTTCCGTGGACCCCCTCCTCCCGCCAAGGTGCTCCCCAAAGAGGGCACACACTAGAGGATGCCACTTCCCAGTGCATGGCCAGCTCCTGCCTAGCCAGCAAAGCTGGCACCCAGCAGGTGGCCAGGCCTCCCGTGTGGTGCTGCAGCTTCCCCGCCCAAGGGCACATCTGGAATTGCTGCTGACAGCTGCAAATGCTTTGAGCTGGGGCTTCGGTCCCTCCACAGGGGCTGTTTAGGGGGACTGCAAGTGCCACTGCCTTGAGGAGAGGGGAGAGGTCAGAGCCCTGGGCCCCTGGATGTTGACCCCTTCTCTAAGGCCCAGTTTGTGTTTGCAGCGTTAGCATCACCTTGAGTGCGCGCGCGCACACACACAGGGACATCCTCAACACGGTTACCTTGAGCATTTGGCTCTGCAGCTGGGGGAGCCACAGAGGCAACCCAGGGGCCGGCGTAGTGCTCCCTCCATGGGCCGGGTGAGACCTGCAGCTGGGGGAGCCACGGAGGCGCACCCAGGGGCCGGCGTAGTGCTCCCTCCATGGGCCAGGGGTGACCTGAGGGCTGCGCAGACACCATGGACACAGTCCCAGGCCCAGGCTCGCTGCCTGCATTGGTGCTGCTAGGGGTAGCCTGCCCATCTTGCTGCATAGCCACACTCATGAGGAGCAGGTCAGCTGAACCCCTGGCCCCTATGTGCCTGTGACACAGGACACAAAATTGCAAAATTGTGAAATCAAGAGTTCACCTCCTTTCAAAGGCCTTTTGGGACAAAAGATGGGGCGGGGTCTGAGGGCAGGGCCAGCTCTCCAGGGACACTGCACCTGTGAATGCCTTCCATAGGTTGGCCTCAGGCTGCGGGCACCCCCTTTCTATGGCACAGCCGCTACCTGCTGCTCAATCTGCGTCCGGGTTCCCTCTCTGTACAGAGGGGGAGAACGGGGTGAACTTCAGTGCAGACAGCACCCTGGGAAGCTGAAGCTTCCTTCATCTCAGAAAAGCCCCACCTACCGCCTACAGGGTGGGCCACACTGACCTCTGCCCACCTGGGCAGTGAGGGTCCTGCTCACACAGCCCTCATCACCACCTCCCAACAACTCAGCAACAACTTGACAAATTCCCAGAGCTCCCCACAGCCCTGCCCCGCTACCACAGGGGCAGCAGACTGCAGCCAGGAGTGGGGGAAGCTTTACTTGGCCTATGACACTGAGGTCGCAGCCAGCCTCCCACCATGCTCCAAGCAGTGCAAGAGGCCGGTCCCTGCTCGTGCCAGCACTGTCCCCGGGGAGCCAGCCGTCTGCACCCCAAGGCTGTGCCCTCAGTGCTCTGCATCCTTTCTCCTTCTGGATCAGAAAAGTAGGTTTGAAAAACGGAGTATTTCTGCAGTTAAGTGTTCTGAGGCTTGGTCAGAAAAAAACGTGAGAGAGCAGAGCAGCATCTGATTCCAGAAGCACTGTGGGCCGATCATGTGAGCTCAACTTCGCAGTTTACTAAGAAAGTTCTTTCAGATGCCACGTAATTTGGGGGCAGCAAAACCACAGTCACAGATATCCCCTCCCCTCTCTTCCCCTCCACTCCCCTCCCCTCTCCTCTCCCCTCCGCTCCCCTCCTCTCCTCTCTCCTCTCCTCTCCTCTCTTCCCCTCCGCTCCCCTCCCTTCTCCTCTCCTCTCTTCCCCTCCGCTCTCCTCTCCCCTCCGCTCTCCTCTCTTCCCCTCCGCTCCCCTCCCTTCTCCTCTCCTCTCTTCCCCTCCGCTCTCCTCTCCTCTCTTCTCCTCTCCTCTCCTCTCCTCTCCTCTCCTCTCCTCTCCTCTCTTCTCCTCTCCCCTCCTCTCCTCTCCTCTATTCCCCTCCTCTCCTATCCGCTCTCCTCCCCTCTCCTCTCTCCTCTCCTCTCTTCCCCTCTCCTCTCCTTTCCTCTCTATAAAACAAGGCTCCACTCAGGATGCTCCGGGCCAAACACACACCCACGCGTGAGAGCATCCATGAGTGGGAGGACGCAAGAGCTCAGCCACATGGCAGCGACTCCGGAATCTGCCCTGTTGGCTCTGTGACTTAGGTGTAAACGTCTCATACGTACCCACACATCACACCACTAACCCTAACACATAGGGCCATCAGCAGGCCTGCCCCAGACACACACACACACACGCACACATCAGTCTTCTATGGCTTGCATGAGAAAGGAGCGTGTGAAGCCACCTTCTGCAGAGCCCGGAGCTCCCGGAGGCTTGGGGCCCTGCCCCGACTCGGGAAGAGGAGCCGTGTCCCTAACCCGGCTCCTGGGATCCTCCACAGGTGGCGCACTGAGAAGTCCTGACCACAGGATGTCTGCCCAGTAAATGCCACACAGATCTAAACGCAAACATCTCACCTGGGAGTTGGAAAGGCCCTGTGCCCTATGACGCTGCGGGAGGACCGCCTTGCTAGCCGCATAGGCACAGCCTAGGAATTCTGGCAGCCAGGGAGTTCCTTCAGAGATGGGCTGATGCGTTTCCCCCAGAAATTCATCAAACTTGGGCTGCAAACCATTTTCAAATAAAAGTGATCTGAATCATTTATGGCCTTTTTTGGTAAAATATTAATGGAAAAGAGAGCATTTTATAGATTCTTATCCTGCCAACTTTATTACTTTCAGCACACCAAGCCCTCTTACGAGTAATAAAATAACACAAATAAACCATCTGGGGACTGACCTATGAAGAATGATACTTTTTTCCTCCAAAACATGTATATACAAAAGGAGAAATGTTCGTTCCTCTGGCCAAAGCAAGCGTGTGACCTTTCCCACCAGCGAGCAGAGCCCTGGCGGCCGTCTCATGGGGCCTGACACCACCCGACCAGGTAGCCTGGACCGGCGTGCGCGTCTGGGCCTTTGCTTGTCTCCACTGAACCACAACGGCATTGTCCTCTGCCCACGCCTTCCACCCACAAACGCAGCAGAGGTGGCTGAGAGAAGCAGCACACTCACGCTGTGCCATTTCACCCCACACCTACCCGGGCACCTGGGGGTCTTGTGGGCCACAGCTGTCCCACTGATGGGCCTCCCATTGGGCGTGACACACCAGCAGTATCCCGTGTAGCTGTGACACTGGACCTGTGGAAAGGACACGGTGTGTGAGCCCTCAGTCAGTGTCTGCGGCCAGGGCTCCCTCGACGCACGGCTCGGGCCACAGGTTTCTGGGGCCAGCTGCTGTTAGCAATGCTGTGCTTGGAATGTCAAGGCTGCCAGAGACGAGTGACCCTGGCACTTCCCCGGCTTCTGCATAAGACCCAGCACTCAGCACCCACTCCCTCCGCCAGCTCATGCCCACAAGCTCATCTCACAGCAGACGCCAGCTCAGAGCCATGGAGTTGGTCCGGGGCTCGGTTAGTGTGGGGGCCAGTGGGCAGCAGCCCCAGGAACACTTCTGCCAGAGGCCTCCTCAGGGTGCCCAGTGACCCTCCTGCCACCTGGGCCCCTCAGCAGACAGGCACTGGTCAGGGCTAGACCCTCCCTCTAGCTTCTCTCCCTCCCTCACCTCTCCCGGGCCAAATGACTGCTATGAAGCACCCAGAAGGCACAGATTCGGCTGGCAGATGGCCAGCGCTGTGAGGTCATGCCCTGCTCTGCTGTCAGACCAAAGGTGGGTCAGCGCCTGGTTTAGGTGCACTTTTCCCCAGTAAGGACACTTCAGAACCGAGCCCCCACACTGCCTTCAGCGAGCCACGTGTTCTCAGGGGAAGTGTGGGCCTCAGCTTGGCTCAGCTTCCCACCTGTACACACCAGCACAAAGCTGCCTGCCGTCCACTATAAGTGCTAGAACTGAGCTGGGAGTGAGGAGCCCGGCCAGCCAGATGGGGTGCCCGACCACCCAGGGCACCACGTGACCTGGCTATAGGTGCCGTCGTCATTGCACTCAGGAATGAACACCTGCTGGAACTCCTTCCGGGCTTGCTCCTGGGTGTACTTCCTCTCGGCCACACACCTGGACACGCCTGCAGGACAGAACAGGGCAGAGGAGGTTATACTGCGGGAAGGAGCGGCGGCAGGGACATCAAAGGCACAGGTGTGCGGAGCCTGGGCGGGGCTCCTGGGCACCTCCGAATGCTCGGGGGCTCGGCAGGGAACCAGGCTGCGTGCAGGTGCTTCCAACCACACGGGCCTGCTTTATCCTGCCGGATCGCTCTCCCTCCCCACGAGATAGGGAACTGAGGCCAGAAACACTTCCTGGGCATGTGTCCAGGGATCTCAGTGAACCTGGCTTCCTGCAAACGCGGCAATGCCTGTGTCTGGTCAGTGCCAGACACCCTGGCCAGGTGGGGACATCCAAGAAAGCCCAGCAGGACTGAGCCCAGTCCCAAGGGCCATGGAGCCACCACAGAGAATCGGGCCAAGGGAATGGACTGAGAGACGAGGACCTGGAGATACTCAGGGAACAGGCCCTCCCAGCCTCAGTTACAGCCCAGCAGGTCCAAGACCACCTTGGGAAAGCAACCGCAGCTCTCTGTTCCCTGCCCCTTTGTCTCACGGGTGTCAAGGTCAGTGCTCAACCTGGCCAGGAGTCCCAGCCTCTTGGTGTACCCGACTCAGGCCAGGGGTCATGCTTGTCCTCATCCCCTCCAAGGCCTGTGTTGCCACTGAAGCCAGAGCCTGCAGCCCACGTAGTGGTGGGGCATCCAGCTTTCCGCAGCCTCTGCCGAGGGAGGAGGCCATGGCCACAGGCACCACACAAGCTGCCCTCCCTTGTGCTGACGGCTCACATATATTAAATGTAAATGTTCAAATGTAAATCTTAGAACAGTTTTTCCTAGCTGCGTAGGGTGCTTCCAGATTCACACAGCAAGTGTCCAGATCTCGAGCCGGCACGGAGGCCTCCGTGACTCCGAAGGGCGCTTGCTCACACACGAGCCAGCCTATCCCTGCAGTGGGATTTCTAGTGGGCTGTGGTTGGAAACTGCCGGCTTAGACACATCGCAGGCTGGGCGCCAGCCCTAGCAGGCTGAGGGTGCAGGGTGCTGAGCACAGCTCTGTCACCAGGGCCCTGAGACCTCTGTGGTCCATGTCCTGGGCTGTGCAACCCCCTCCTGGCCCTGGGCCCCAAGCCCTGCGAGCGTCACCCGGGCCAGCCCAGGCACAGCAGTGTGTGGCTTTAATGCAGCCTGTGTTTTAGCCGGAAGAAATGGCTGCTGGGCTGGCCTGCTGGCCTCGCTGCTTGGTAGACCCTGTGGTTTGACTTCTGCGAGGAAATGTGATACGAGCTCCAGCTTGCAAGGTCTCCACCAGGGGACACATGGAGCTGCACATTACATCTAATATTTGAACTATCATGGAACACGCCAGAAAAGCATCAAATTTCTAAACCACCTGTGGCTTCACTCCTGGCTGGGAGTGCTTTCACAGACCTTGTGTTTGCCACCATTCAGCTCACTCTCAGAGCCCGTGTTAATAGAATATTATACTCCAAGTTTATGTCTAGCATATTGCAGGCTACTCAGGCACAGGAACAATTAAGATTCAGTGGCGTGAAATTACAGGGGCCGTGTCAATTACCACTCAAATAGGTCCGCAGTCGCTGAGAAACAGCACTGTTCCCGCAGCTCACACTTTGTTGTTTCTCCTGCCAGACATTCTGAGTTAGATGAGGTCTTTGCCATAGAGCAGTGTTTGGCCAGGTCTTCTGAGAGGCACAAACTGTAGGAACCTTGCCCGCAAGAGCAGCAATGCCTCACACGTGTAATTAGCATCACTCTAAACCACTGGATGCTTCAATCTGAACCTAAACTAAGTGTCCCTTTACAAAAGTCAAAAGTATTAAGCACACTCTCAAATTACATGATTCTTGGCTTTCTACCTTTTGAAAAACTGCAAGTAAAATTGTTCAGCCTTCTCCACCTCAAGTGACAAATTCTCTCGTACTGTTTCTTCTGTATTTTCCTTGTAGTTCCACCCAAAGCTAAGCAGATCCCCAACCGTCCACTGGCCCTATGGAGATCTTCCTCTGCACAATCTATTTCTAACCGTGCCAACACCAAACGCCCAACATGCAAGCCATGTAACATTTTTCTTGGGCGACGCACACAGCAGTCCTTGGGCTCTTCGGTTCTCCATCCTCGAACTGTTGGGAACAAGGCTGTGAGAAACAGGCAGGTTTCATTTGTCTTTGGGGGAAGGGCAGCAGAACCGCCAGGCCCCAGAGAAGCTCCGCTTAACATGTGGAGTGCCACACGGCTGTCCAGGGCGTGGCCATTCCACCTTCCCACCAGCAGACGACAAGGGTGTTGATTGACGATATCTTTGCCACCCGTGTGGAAGATTTGGATAGGATCCCCAGCCTGTGGCTTCAGCTGAGCAGGCACTTGAGAAGTGAACTTTTGCATGGAGTATCTATATGCATCTCTACTTAATAAAATCTTTAAGAATAATTATACTCATCTTGAACGGACAATGAGAGAAATACAAGCATAACAGAAAATTCTTAGATGCATAATTACGATTTCCAAATAGTAAAGCTAAAAACTACACTGTAACGAATTCATTTCCACAACATCCACACGACGAATAACTGATTGGAACCAAAATCATGGCACAGCGGGTAAAGCCAGCACTTGTGATACTGGCACCCACACAAGCACTGGTTACAGTCCCAGCCGTCTCCCTGCCGACACGTGTGAGAGCAGCGGAAGACAGCCTGAGTTTGGTCCTTGTGCTTTCTCTAATAATGCCAAATAAGCACATCAATCTTCTTTATTTTTTTTAAGACTGATTTATTTATCTGTAAATCGGAGCCATGTGGTAGGAGGGAGGGGCATATCCTTCCACATGTACAGCCGTAGCGGGGCTAAGGCCAGGCCAGGAGCTCCTCGCAGTCTGCCATGTGAGTGACAATGGCCCAAGCCCTCGGGTCGCCCTCCTGTGCCTCCTGAGGCCGTGAGCAGGCGGCTGGTTGAGAAGAGGAACCGCTGGGATGCAAGGCAGTGCCAGTACAGGATGCTGCTGTTACAGACAGAGGCTTCCGCTGCCACCTCAAATGCCAGCCCCAACACATCTGTTTTTAAACAGATAAATGGTCACATATATATTTGCAATAGCTTGTAGCATTGCTTACAAAAATGTGAATGTGAAAAGAGACACAAGAGTTCACCAGTCCTTTCCATTATCAGCCAAAACACAGTATTTGCAGCAAAACTGATACACAATGGCGTATTTTTCATTTTAATTTTAGCTCTCCTATATGAGAGAGAACATGTGACACATTTTGTGTGTGTCTAGCTCACTTCACTCCACACGACCACCTCCAGCTATAATCATTACTGGGATGCAAATGGCAGGGTCTCATTCCTTTTCATAGCGGAATCATATTTTATTGTGTGTGTATAATCCACATGTTTTCCATCCACCCCCGCAGCGATGGACACAGTCCTCATCCTGGTGCTGTGAACAGTGCTGCTGCAAACACGGAGATGTTGGTGGCTTGTGACGCGGCGTGGCACCTCTGAGCACGCAGCGGCAGCCCTGGAAAATGCCGGAGCTCTCGCCTTTTTCAAGAACACTCCGTCCTGTTTTCCACAGCGGCTGCTGAGGAGGACTTTCCTTCCTACCAGTCTACAGGCGCGCCCCTCTCTCCACATGCACTTCCTCCACGAGTCGCTGGCAGCAGCCAGTCTGACAGGAGTCAGGTGCTATGTCACCGTGATCTGGGTTTCGTTTCTCCGACGGCTGACTATGTTGAATAGTTTTTGCATGTATTATTGACCAGTAGCATTTCTTCTTTGAAGAACTGTTCATTAAAGTCTCTAATTTTGTATTTTGTTCCCAATGTCCCGGGGCTTCTCCTACCTAAGCAAAGCCACAAAAATCCCTACCCATTCTGACGACTTCTGTCTTAAGGTTTATTATGGCCACTGCCAAAACAAAGAAGTAGGGTGTGTGTGTTTGTGTGTGTGTGTGTAAAACATTCCAGAAACTATCTGATGCTTATGGCCATGGCTTCAAGAGAAGAGCGACAGTGCTACCCCTGTTACGTCTACGTTGGTCCATAAAGAAGGGTGTTTCTAAACACCAGAGCTATTAGGACGCCATAGAACAGCTCAGGTAAACACAATGTGGATAGAGTTTCTGTAAGAGACAAGCACACGTGTGTTTAAAAAGCCAAGGACAGCAACACAGGGAAGTTATTTCCGACGGTGTGTCCATACACAAAGAAATATGACCCAAGTTCTTGGGCAACCAAGGGAGCATCTGGCCTGTGAGATCTTGGCAGAGGGAGAGCCACACACATGCACACTCACTGCTCTCAGACGCGCAGGCTCCCCGACCTGCACCCCTCACACGCAGGCTCCCCGACCAGCACCCCTCACACGCAGGCTCCCCGACCAGCACCCCTCACACGCAGGCCCCCCGACCTGCACCCCTCACACGTAGGCACTCACACTCCAGGAACCTCACACACATGACTTGCTCACACATGCATAGTATCTCCCACAGGCTCACATACCCACACACTCACTGGTTCATGCATTTGCTCGCATGTATTTCCACATGCATTCCCCCACACACACTTGTAGTCACACGTGCCCATACACACTCACGGGCACACATCCCCAGGAATGCTCTCAGTGTTCCCGACAGTGGTCACCACCACGTGCTGTCAGGGCTTTGCTGTGGCTGCTGCACCGCAGAGGATGCTGTGTGGGCACCTCAAAAGCAACACCACAGGCCACAGAAGGAGAACGGAGATGAAGCACTGTCCAACCTGTTACGAAGCCTCTGGGTCCGAGTAAGGGCTCATTAGCCATGTCCTCAGGAAGGTCTTCAGATACGGAAGGCGAGCAAACAGACGCAGGGGTGACAGCCCTGTGCTTCTGCCACGCATTTGTGAAAGAGCCCAGGCTCTGCGCTGAGGTCCCCGTGCCAGTCACGCCAGGGGCTCCCAGGTGAGGAAGAAGGTTGGTGAGACACCGCAGCAGGACAGTGGAGATGGGAGCTGACTGCGGGCGCTGTGGTGTGCCCTGCTTGTCCTGTCCTTTCTGGTGCCCCAGGCTAAGGTGAGGGCACCGACAGAACAGTCTTGGGTGCCTCTGGGAAAGTTCATTTTGGTCATAATTTTCCTTCCAGAAATTTCGTAACAGTTTCAGTCTTCTGGAATTTGACTCCTTTGTCATTATTATTATTATTATTACTTCATTCCAGAGATTTTCTTGAAAAGAAAGGTTATGTCAATGGTCTCAGACCAAAAGAAAAAAAAATGTAATGTGTTTGCTGAGTTCTGAAAACACAAACTCTACAAATTTTTGAGAAATAAGTTTGAGAATATGGGAAAAATCCTTGTGTATAAGCCACCGCAACTGTAAAAGCCACCACAATTCCAGGCAAGGCCGATGGCTAGAGCTTAACAGGACATGCATATAACATTCCGATCCCATTTAGGGAAATGCGGCCTGCAGCGTTTGAACTGTTGTTTTCAAACCAGAGCGTCCAGAAGACACACGCCTCAGACCTGTCACCTGCCAAAAATGCACAAATGTCCTCCAAATGCTGCCCAGGAGCGGCAGGGGAGGATTGGAGTGTCACCGGAGGGAGTGGGGGGCCTGTGGGATCCCCACCCCGTCTGCCTTCAGGCAGGAGAGTCTGCCCTCTGGGTAAGGCAGGTGACCGAGGACCGGAGGACGCCATGCCAAACCTCGCACCCGTGGAGCCTGGTGTCCGCGCCGGCCTCGCTCGGATCCCTCGGAGGCAGGAGAGCTTCCTGGGCTAAGCTTTCTCGTCCTCTCTTCATCCTGTCAGATTCCTTCAGGAGCAGAGGTCCCCAGGCCAGGCGCCGCTCCAGGCCGCCCCCCCCTGCCTCCCCTCAGGCTTCCTGGAGACCATTTCCAGAACTTCAGGTCGGCTTCTCTGAGGAAACCCAGCGCAGCGGAAGTGGAAGCCGGGACTTCCGGTGGCCCCTGCGCCACGCGCGTCCTGACGCTGGCACGGGTTCTGCCCAGCGATGCTCCGCAGGACCCAGCGACCCAGGATCCAGGACGGCTTGCACACCTGGCAAGGGGTCTGGGGAGCTGGCCCGTCCCGCGTTTAAAGACTCTCCAAACCCTCAGGCGGACTTCTTGCTCCGGGAGATGCAAGGCGCTCTGATCCCCGTGCTGGGCAGGCCTCAGGGGTGCCCTGGTCACAGGTACACTGTCTTACTCCTCTCTACCCTTGTGCCCCCTCACAAGGGCTCTGGGACCAACCAGATGGGGGAGCATGAGCCCCAGGACCTGTCCCATCACTGCCTGCAGCACCCAGCTGCCTCTCAGGGGGGTGTACATTCCCCAGAAAGACACAGAAAGTGCTCACAAGTCACACAGAGGCCAAAGACTGCAGCACCAGGCTGGGGCATCTGCGAACCAGCTACACTGGGCAGCCCAGGTATGAGGTCGGGTGGAGGGCTCCCTGGGTCAGGGGCAAGGCAGCTGTGCCACAATTTGCACATCTTTTATCTGCAGGTGCTGGGCTTCAGGCATGACCCGACCACTGTGGTATGTTTATGTAACCTGTGACTCATACTTTCTCCTTGCATTGTATGCCTTGCAAACTCAGTACTGTATTGTGTGAGTGAATGAGTTAAAATTGCCCTTTCCACTTGAAAGTGGCTGATGTGTTCCCTTTGTGTCCTTTATGGAGTGTGCCAGGCTGTGGGCACGCCGGGGCTGGTCCTGACCACAGCAGGTAACTGCCGCATGAGCGCACCTGCCCAATGGCACAAGAAGACACAAAGGGCTGTGCCATCCAGGAGGCTGCAGGGCTCAGAGCTCGCATTCTGGCGCAGAGCAACCTGCACTGGCTGCATTCCATCGCGGCTTCCAGAGCCCCATTTCTCACAAGCCACATGGACACCAGACCTCAGCACCCAGCTCACACAGCCCTTCCAGTTGGTCCTTACAGCACCACCTCCCATGGAGCTTGCTGTAAGTTGAGGATAACACGCTTGTGTGCTGAACATTCTAGAAGTCTCCGTGGAGCAGTGCCCTGGCTTTAACCTTCATAAAGGCATCTCCCTTCCCTTTTTAATTCTGACGGGGGCCGGCTGCTGGTGCTGCAAACTGCCAGTGAGATGTGAATGATGAGATTTACCTGGGAGTTTCAGGAAGCTCCCGAGAGGAGGGACCAGCTGGGGTGAGCACGCACACAGCCTCGCCTTGGACGTCAGTTGGCTCGCCTCCCCGCTTTGTCTCACTTGCACCAGCTGCCCTTCCCTTCAGAGCAGCCTCCATGGGCTCACTGGGAGTGCGGAGGGACATGTCCTGGATCCAGACCCACTCTTGCCACAGGCTGTATGCGCACTCTCCTCTCTCCCCAGCTCTCACCCAGCCACAAGCAGCAAGCATGATTATTCTCTGGTGGCATTCCCACTGCAGCCTCAGTTTGTCATCATCATCCCAGGGATTCTTCTGGAAGAACTTGCCTACTAAGCAACTGTCCTGCCTACCTTGGTCCGTGTTCTGGACTTTTGTTGCTGTACCAAGTGCATTCACTTTGAACAAACCAGAGAGAGCCCTTGATCTTGCAGTGCATCACCACCACAGGAGTGCAGGGAGAGCCCAGGCTGTGCCCACAAACAGCAGCGTAGGGAGGGGCTGGGAGGGCAGAGACCAAGAGTTCGGGGAGCTTCCTGCTGTGCGCGGCGCCTTGTGCGTCTACAGGGAGCTGGAGATGGAGTCGGGGAAGTCATCTCAGTGCCAAGGAGCCCGGCAGAATCCGCTCGGCCCTCTGCCACCATGAGGGGACCAGCAGCCCCTGGCTGCGTGGGGGCGGGGACAAAGCCCTTCCAGCCAGGCTCAGTGTTCTGGCTGCATTTGTTTGGGGGTCTCGGGGCCCGTGGTCTGGCAGCCAGTCAACAGAGAGCAGCACCGCAGGCCCACTTGCATCTGTGTGGCCCTCCCTGGGTGGGAAGAGCAAAGGGCGTATCTCTCTGGAAACAACTCTACTCATGTTTTAAACAGGACCTCTTCTGCGGGTCAAACCACATGTGAATGCGGGAAATCTTTCAGCATTTTCCACTAACTCCAAGCCTGAGTCTTCAGTTATGGAAGCAAAGACTTCAGGGGGAGAATCACCCCAAAATATGTCAGCAAAATGCAGGTATCGGGGCATCTGTTCCATCTGCTCAGAAGAAAGTGGAAACAAGCTTTGGTGGGACTGGCTTTAGAAGGCTTTAGGAGGAAAGCACGAGGCCTTTGGGGACGTTGGCTTCCGGTGGCATCAAACTGAGGACCAGACTGGATAAACTGTGCAACACGACTGTGCTGAGAGCACAGGAAGGACTCTGCTCCCTCCCACGTGCTGACCAGATCAGCCAGCTTAGGAGCTAGCATTTTAAATATGCAAATATGCGGTTGCCAGCCTGAAGCAGATAACACAGCAAGAGTGTGCTGAGCAGATGCCCAGGGGCGTGTGTGCCTGAGAGGGTGACACAGCGGGCATGTGTCTCAATGGGTGATGTGGCAGGGGTGTGCCTGAGTGGATGGCCTGGCGGAAGCTTACCTTTGCAGTTGCCCTTGTAAGCCACCTCTAGCTGAGAGTCCTTGCACTTGGCACGTTGGAATTCACAGCGGGATAAGAAGGTCCGTCCGTCGGATGCACACAGCGGCTTCTGGGGGGAGCCCGTGCAGTCGAGGGTGCAGTCCTTGTCTTTGTCTTGTTCGACTCTCAGAAACTGAGGGAGACAAAGAAGCCAGACCCATGTGAAGACATGTTCTTTTAGGAAGCTAAAACAAGTTTCCACAAGGGTAGTCAGGGAATGGGTGATGAGGACCTGCCAGACCCCCTGGGCCTCCTGGGGCACTCCACGTCCCCCTGACCCAGCAGCACTGGGTCGCCGGGGGATGCCCATGTCTGCTCTTCCAGCCGTAGCAGGTGGGACAGAAATGCTTTCCTCTAACTAGTCGGTTCACTTGTAATTATTAGCACCAATGGGCAAGGCCTTGGGCCCTTCCTCTGGCAGATGGATGGATCAGGGTCTGGCAGGGAATGCCCCACATCATGTGGTCAGACACAGGGTCGCGGTGGCCTCGGGACCAGAGTGCGTTCCCACGCCAGCAGCTCACCATTCTCACACAGATGCTTCCTGGATGAATGGGAGGTGATGTGCCCCAGACGAGTCTCAGGTGTCTCCACGCAGCTGTCTGGCAGTCAGCAGCAGACACCTTGAGCCCTGGCTGCTCATTTCCTGTCCAGCTCCCTGCTGAAGCATCAGGAGACCTGGAGGATGCTCCTGGCTTTAGCGTGGCCCAGTCCTCTTTCTCTGTGGCCATTTGGAAGTGAACCAGTAGGTGGAAGGTCTCTTTCTGTCTCTTGTCTCTCTCTCTCTCTGTAACTCTGCCTTTCAAAGAAATGAACCTGTTTAAAGCAAACACCTGGTAGCGTGTGGTCACCATGCCTGCACCCACAGCATGAGGGCAGTGCACTGAGGGGCAGGTGCACAGGAGTGTAACTCCCACCTAGGGTTCCCAAAGCGGCTAGCACACGGAGAGGGCTGCAGCTCACGCAGATGGCCTGACTTCAGGGCCTGGCTTGGCTCTCCTTTGGCTCTGGCCACACAGCCTCTCGGCTCACCCTGCGCCTGGACAAGTACTCAAGTGTCCACTGTCGGTCTCCATCCTGTGTGCTCCAGGCTCTTTAGGCCTGCACCCATGTCACACCACTGGCAGCTACACATGTGAGCACGCCCAGCAAGAATGTGCCTGTGGGGCTCGTGGTGGGGGGGCATATGGGACTGTCCCAGCCTGTGGCCATTGGAACATCACCCGGCCCACACACGTGTTCTCTGACATGCAATGTTCAAGGAGCCGTAAGGAGAGGAAGGTTCTGGCTGCTGTGGGAGCTGCGTGTTTGCACACGTTCACTGGGTGTTGCGGCGGGGGGAGGGCGTCCACAGGTGAGAATATACTAACCCTAATTCTAACCCTAACCCCCCACACACATGCTCCCTTTGTCTGCTCCACAGAGCCTGCCCGCCCTGGGTGCAGGAAACAACAGGGCCCCTACCCTTCCACAATGGTCTCCATGCTTTTTGCGGTGTGGGCGAGGAAATACGGAGGCCTTGGGCGCAATGTGGTAATGATTGTTCTCTAACTAGAGCAGAGGAGGGTGAGCACTCCAGCACTTGGAACCAGACCATCATCCTTGACAGCGTCACCATGCTGACCCAACAATGGGGCATTCTTCCCAGGAGCCCAGGAGCAGGCACTGTGTGCACAGGTGCCTCCCCCACCCCACTTCCAGAGCAGAAGCAAAGCTGGCGCAGTATTCCTGTTCCCAGGCTGCCACGGCTCTGGAGGGAGTTCAGCTGAGTCTTCAAACCAATTCCAGTTCAAAGGCACTGCGCCACATTTGCAATGAAACCCACTGGATCATGGGCACCTTAGTTCCAAGACAACCGGAAGTGCAGCACCACAGGGCTGCCAGTGAACAGACACACAGGAGAGTGTTTACTTGTCATTAGCTTGCTCTTAGTTAAGAGGCAGAGTTCCCCTCTGCTGGTCCATTCCCCAGACGCCTGCAGAGACCAACACTAAGTGAGGGAGCCAGGAGCTGGGAGCTGAGTCTGGGCCTCCCACAGCGGGCAGGGGCAGCGGGGGCGGGGGGAGCGGGCAGGCAGGAGTCCTCTGTCCCACAGCCACCATCACTGCTGCCACTGGGGTGCTGCGCAGGCATGGTGCCTGGACAGGACCCCAGGCTCTCCACCCCCACCCCAGATCCTCTTACAAAGTGGTACCATCTGGGTAAGGAGGACCAGGGTGACGCAGGGAGTGCGCCTGTGGTCAGTGTGCAGGCACGGGCTGGTGAGTAGGTCAGCCGTATAGACCACAAGCAAGGTTCTGCATCTTTCTCGGCAAGTGCACATCTTTAGGCCAAGAGAAGAAAAACTAAACGAACCCCCTTAGGACAGAGGCAACAGCACCTTTCGATTGCACGGATCCCCCAGCGCCACATTGACTTCTGTTTTTACAGATTGTGCAAGAGGCTAGAATCGAGAAAATTTCTCCTCTAAAACACGTCATTTCACAGCCATAAGAGCCCCAAGAAGGGCACGTGTTGTGGCAGAGCCAGGTAAGCTGCCCTGGGATGCCTTCCTGCGGCAGCAAGGCGGGTGAGCAGGCGGCAGGGGCAGCACAGAGCCGGGCTGTCTGCTGCAATCTGGCCTTTGGGGAAGGAACAACAGAGGACAAGCTCTGACTTTGAGCAAAGGGAATGACCTGCAACAGCAGCCACTTCCTTGTTCAGAGGTCCCAGGAAGGTGGGAGCCCTGTGGTGTGTCGGCTCCTTCTCTGAGACAGTGCCCTGGGCAGCACTGGCTTTGGGCAGCTCTGTATGCACACGGGGGTGGCAGATGGGGAACTGTCCTATGGGAGCTTTCTATGGGGGCATCTCCATGTCACACCCAGGCTTCCTGAGGCTCTCACAGGAGGTCCCTGTGTCCGGCAAGCAAAGTGGAGATGCCACGGGGCCATCGGGCTCCTGGATTCTCTCTCCCAGACATGAGTAGGCCGCCCACCCCCTACTTGCTCGCTGGCTCCCATCTCCTGTGAGTTACAAACGCCATCAGCTTTTACTGTCATCACCTTCTTTTCCCCACTCTTAATGAAGCCAAAAAAGAAAGAAAAAAGCCACATCTTTCTAAGGTGGCTCAAAAGTCGGCTCCGGCTCACCTGGCAGATGGAGCAGAGTTTCTATGCAGTCTGTAAAAGGCCTTAAGGCAGCCCAGAAGGGTGAGACTGCAAAGGCCCTGAACAGGGCGAGAGAGGAAAGCGTTTGCCTGCGAAGGACGGCCACAGCAGGACTGCAGAACGCAGGGCAGAGGGGCCGCAGCTGATTTGCACATACACATTTATTTAAAAAAAAAAATCATCGGAGGAAACTTGGGAATGAAGCCAAGGGAGACAGCAGCCAGGAGTGAGTGCAGGGAAGGCTGAACTGGGAACACAGCAGAAAGGGGGGACAGGAGCAGCTCTGGCGCGGGGCAGGGGGGTGGGGGTCCCATCTCTGCGGCTGCAGTTGCACTGAGGTACCATTCTAGACCTCGTGTCTGGAACACGTAATGACACCAAGGGGCAGGCTGCTTACAGAATCTGTATGGCTTCTGGTCATTTCCCATCACCATGCCCAACTGGGAGTTTCATGGCTTACAAAAACCCGGGAAACTGGGTTCTGAGCAAGCCAGCTCAGCTACCACACGACGCAGGAGGGCTGGGGCCAAGGCTTCTGACCGAGGCGATGGGGCCCAACATTTTCACGATCGCAGTCGCTTTGAGAGTCTACTGCTCACCCTGAGATGGGACTCCTGCTCTGCCTGCCTGCCATGAGAATGGAACGTTGGGGTTGTATCCACGTGAGCAGATCTGTGTTGCCACTATGCTTCTCCCACCTGCAAGCCCTCCGGGAGCTGCCTCTCCACATCTGGACCCAGAGGATGTGGTCCCTGTGACAGCAGTACTGGGAGCGGCTTCATGCTCTGTGGGTTTTCAGAGGGCAGCGTTGAGTAAATGGGATGGTGGGTGCCGCCAATTCCATGATCAGAGGAAGTGGACCTGACCTTGGACGAGAGGAGATCAGCCTCCTGTCCTGGGCCGAGTGAGCCTCGGCTGCCTTGCTCCAGGCAGATCTTGTGAAAACAAACATCCGAGGGAAAGGGTTTAGAAAAGACAAGGATTCTACTGAAGTGGAGGTCTGTGCTCACAGTCTAGGCCAGCCACGTGCAGGAAATAAACCTAAAAGCCCAAGGAGAGACAGCAGTCTTCCAGAAAGAGACTGAGGCAGCTGGCTCGGGCGCAGGTGAAGACATGATCAGATACCCAAGGGGAGGTTATGCCACCCTGTCCAGGGGAAGTGACAGACTGGGTGCAACTTCCAGGTGCAGAGCGCAAGCCATGCCACTGTGGTCCTCAAGAAGCCAGGCCTGTGTCCACACGCGCTTTCACGGACTTACTCTGGCCCTTGGCCCTGGACCAAGCTTCCTCACGCTCTCAGGCTCTCCTCGCCTCCCTCCCCATGGGCCCCGGGCACACAGCGGGGACAGGCTTGGCCTGCACCCCGCCAGCCTCTCCTCGTCCAGACATTTCTTTCTGCTGTTTCCCTTCCCTGTCCCTCATCAGTGTTCATTTCAATAACAGAAATGGGTACTGTGTCTCTTGTCCTTACTTCTTGGAAGTAATTCAAGCAAGCATGTAGGTTATTAATTGTTCCAGGTCTGCATTTGTGTGGATTCAGTGAGGCCTGACTCTCCCCATCAGCCATCGTGTGGCCAGTGTTAACGTGACACAGAAAATACCTTTGGAACCAAAACAATCACCTGGTCCAACGTTCCTCCAGCGCTCTTGGAGGAAAAGCCAACAAGCCTGCGCGGGGTAGAATCTCCCAGCACCCAGGACGCCCGGTCACAGCCCAAGCTCCCCCAAGTGGGACTTGTCTTCTCCTGCGGCTTGTCACTTTGAGCAAGCAGCTGGGAGACCGCATGGTCCTCCGGCACTTTGGCCAGCCACAGGTGTCTGATCCCGGAAAGAATGGATGCAGACACAGACACACAGACAAGTGATGAGAGCACGTGTTCTCCCAAGCTGCAGTCCATGGAGTGAATGCATCTGGGGTCTGGAGGGATGCCCAGCGGACCTCTGAACAGCTCTCGGGGCCCACCACAGTGTTGTGCAGGGTTGAGGC